AGAAGTCACTTCTTTCACTTATCTAGGAAGAATCTTTCCAACCACAGCCAGCGGAATGGATGAAGATGTCAAAGTCAGTCAGAATCGAAAAGAAAAGATACACCTTCATCAACCTGAAACGAGTTTGGAAATCTTCTGCACTCATTCAGCATAAAGAACAAGATTCGGATTTTCAGCAACAATGTGGAGTCAGTCAGTTCCTCTATATGGGTCAGAAAATTACACTGTGCGTCACGAAAAGCACTTTCAATAGGCTACTTCAGATTTTTATCAACAGCTGCTCCCTTCACTGGCTCCATATTGAAGGTCGAATCGCCAACCAGAAGGAATCAGCAACAAGAAATTCCGGGAGGCGACGAACCAATCAAGAGACGATTGCTTAACATATATGTGGGAAAAATAGAGATGGATTGGGCACACACTGATGAGGCCGTCAAATGACGTCGCACTCAATGCAGGCTATTGCTCGGGTGGATTCTGAGTGGGAAACGACGAGTGGGTTGTTAGTGCGAGAGTGATATATTTATTTATTGTTATATTGTGTTTATTGCTCTTAAATGTTCAATGGTTCTTATATTGGGATGTTGAATTAATGCCGCAGTCTACCGCGAAAGTGAATAAATACATCCCTACAACTCTAACAAGTGGATTTGAAATCAGTCAAACTGGGAAAGTTTTATTCTTTGTCAAATGAATTGAATAATAACTCAATATTTTAGTTAATGATAAAAGGTGAAATAAGATTCTCATTAGCAGTAAAGGTCCGTTCATCCAAGACAACCTCAGATAGTCTAATTATCAATTCAGCATACTTCAGTGACTTCCTTCAAGATGAAATAAAACTGCTTGGAGTTGGGAAGCGTAGAATCTGAGTCAGTAGGTTGATGGTAACGTACACGCCACTATACAATAATAATCCTAGGTTTGATTTATTGTGTGCTCATTAGTAAGCATTATCGACCTTGACATCACTTGACAAGCCCACAAGTGGCGATTTGGTCGTCCAAGGGTGACTTGGAGGAGGTCATGTGAAGAGGAAATGAAAGCATATGGGCAGACGTGGAGCCAGGTGAAAACTTTAGCAGAGAACCGAACGCAATGGAGACATGTGAGTGAAGCCCTATGTTCCTCTAGGAATTAAAGGAAATAATAATAATATAAATAATCGAAGAAATGTACTTTCGAAGTAATTTTTTATTTCATAGAACTATAACTAGATAATGCAATTTGTTCACTTTCCTCAACAAAATATACCGCATTGTTTAATTCATTATAATAAAGGTTTTTGCATTTCCCAATGAATAAAAAACAATCGTTTTGTTTTTCATTCATTGGGAAATGCAAAAACCTTTATTATAATGGGTATCATATACCCAATGCCCAAATTTTAAAAGAATAATTGTTTAATTCAATTTTAGATTTTCCCGTCAACTGATTGGACCGAAGTTCTCCTCGGTCTCAGGCTGACATGTGTAGATGCTTCAACGATTTCTGGTCATGTAACTATGCGTTAACTGGTGGGTAGTGACTAGCAGTGGAATCTAGGATGCGCAGTTCGTCCTGTTTGGGACTCGTCAGCAGGGTGTACTTGAATTTAGCAGTTAGTGTTGGTATTCTAACCGAGGCTCGAACCCGGTGCCTATAGTTTCAAATGCCAAAGAGCTATCCACTAGACCACCAGAGCCACGAGAGCCACTTCCTGTGCAACGGGTCACATTAATTATTGAGTTCAATTTGCAAAAGAGGTGGCTCTCGTGGATCAAGTGGATAACACTTTGGCGTTTGAAAATATGAGTACTAGGTTCGAGCCTCGGTTGGAACACCATCACTCACTGCGGAATGCAGGTACGTCCAAATGACGAGTGTCAAATAGGGACGAAGCATGCGTCGTGGATTCCACTGCTGGTCACCATCCACTAATTAACTTCACTACACTGCATTGGTTTAAAAGTATTATTTCAAAATGAAGTATGAAAATGTGTTTCTGCAGGGTAATTTTAACATACCAAGTGAAAAGATTCCTGACTGCCATTGTTTAAACTTTTCTTAAATTGGTCGAATTATTATTTGTTGATTTATTTGTCTATAAACAAGTATACTAAAATATCCTCAGGTAATATTTCATATAATCTCTTGGTGAAAATGATACCACGTGAGGGTAGACAGAATATAATAAACAAAATAAGACAACGGGGGATTTGAAGAGAATACATATATTACACACATTCATTATATGTGCCTACTTGTATTAATGTGTTAGCAGTGTGAACAGAGCTTTTTTCATAACATACAGTAATAACCAGTAATATAGAGACTTAGAAACTATGAATGAATATTAATCTTATTACATAAGGCGTAAAATGATGATTTATGTGACAGTATTTTCACATAAAATAGGCGTTCGTATTTAATGCGTCAGCGGTACCCTGGGAAATCAGTGTATACTTGACTGCATCATCCTTCTTAAACACGTAACTAAGGCTAGGAACTGTAGTGAATCACAGATAAATGAATTATTAGACTATATCAATCAGAAATATATATATATATATATATATATATATATATATATGTATATCGTTTATATGAAAAATTCACCAGTTTCACTGAACAAGTCTTGTTAGCCTGTGGCAGAACAGTGTGGTTTGGTGGTCATATCTAGGTAGAGATAACCAAATAGAACTGAAATTTCATTATTTTATGCTAATATAGTGGAGGAAAAGTAGAAAAATCGGCATCTGAATTGTACATTGGCAACCCAATACACAATTTGCACATATCCTTGGTATTGTGCTTCTTTGTCTTTTGCATTATGCTTCTTTGTCTTCCTTAAGTGTTTCCTGTGGTGTTTCACAAGCATTATTGATTGAACCCATCTCTCCGCTATTCCATGTTCGAACTGATGGTGCAAATATTTAAATCTGCATATGTATACTACTTCCAAATGTTGTCAGTAGCACACGCCACATTAGTATATGTGGTATATCGCATCAGAAATGCTTCGTGTATGCTAGTATTTTATTGACGCTCTTTCGAACGGGTATATTTTTGGGATATCCTTTAAATCACTAGAAAATGTGACTGCATTTTGGTCTCTATCTGCCCACAAAAAGTGAAACTGTTATCACTAAAGTGAGAAGCCTACTACTAGTATTGACAGTCGACCAGGATTAAAACATGATGACTTTGCAACTCGCATATAAGAAACTTATGGATTTACCAGTGTTTCAGCTTACATCATTCACTGTAAAAATAATAATTTGTACAAAATGTTCACACAGTAACAAATAATGCGACTCATATATTCATCAACTACAATTTAGATGTCATTTAATGTAGCGCACTGTAATTTTCAGGTTAATCATCTTAATGATGATTATGTCTAACGGGTTGATTACGGATTGATATCAGTTAGAGAACCATTGAAAACCAGCACTGGAGTACTGGACAGCTGCTGTTTCATCCTAGTTTGGGAATCATCGGCAGTACGCACCCACTGGGATTCGAACTCGGGACCTTCCGGTTACAAGGAAAACCCGTATACCATTCAGCCACTGGGACCCGATTCAATGGCTCGTGAATTCTAACTTCTAGGGTTCGAATCCCAGTGGGTGCGTACTGCCGATGATTCCCAAACTAGGATGAAACAGCAGCTGTCCAGTACTCCAGTGCTGGTTTTCAATGGTTCTTTAACTGATATCAAACCGTGATCAACCCGTAAAACATAACTAATCCTTACAAACCAAACTATAGAAAGATTATGTCTAAATTCACTATTGCACAGCCTATTATACCACTTAACATGGAAAATAGAAAGTGTACACCTGTGGACAAAGACAGCTAATCTTTTCATCATATCTTCCACTTTCAGTGATTATGTCTCACATATATAAAGGGAAACAGAAAGAACTGCTGGGTGACACACACACGCACATCGTTTGATAAACAACGGGTTACCATATTTACACCACGAATGATGTGAGTTAGGAAATGCCTCACAAACTTTTCACATCCACAATAGTATGATCGATCCCATGGTTAAAAACTGTAAATTTGGTCGGATATACATATTGTAAGGAGTACCAACAACAAAAGTGTCCTCGTAGTTAACTGAGCCTTTTTGATTTAGGTGCGTCGGTGGCACAGTGGTTAGGACTCTCGCCGACCATACACATGGTCCGAGGTTCGATCCCCTGACGACGCACACCTGATATCTATGGTCAGCCTGCAAAATTTGGGCTACCGATATCCATGCTGAAAATTCCATACTTGTACCAAAAATACAGTGTGGAATCAAGCTGTAATCAAAAATAAAAATAAATAAATAATAGTTCTAATTTAGAGTGTTTGCAAAATCTTAGGTTAACTAAAATGTGGAAAAAACTAACTGATGAGTTCTAATTTGGAGAGGGAGAATTCATCTGTTACTTTCCATCTAAAAAATATCCTCAATAACCGACAGTATCTCCCCCTTCAGGCATCCTATTTGGTTTGAAATCCGGCTTGGGAACAGATTTCCTATTATCAGAAGAAATAAACCCCCTCCCTACATAGAAACAACATGATATTTTTAAAGTATCATAAGTAAGAGATACGCAGATTTGACTACATTTACTAGAAACGCTACGTTCATTTTATTTTCCCGAGGAAAATATATTTCTATTGGCTCTTTCTATTAAGGGTATAATTCTACCTTCACTTTATTAGTTTTAGTCTAACCCACCGATTGGTTCGATATTTTATAAAGAGGTAACGCTAAATTATTCCAATGCGTATATTTCATGATAACGATTTTTAAAAGAAAAATCTCCCTATATCTGTGTGTGTGAACAGAAAAAAAATTGAACAAATCAGAAATGAGTATTTATTCTTCACTAAATAGAAAACTAGTTTATTTTCTATCTAAATCTTCTTGATCCCGTCACCGTATTAAAACTAAGAGAAATATATATATATATTGGTTTTTATGCCAGTACTCAACCTTGTCTATGGAAGTCAGAATGAAAACTGAGAGTTTGAAAGCCATAACGCTAGGCAAAAAGTTGTCAATGCTTGGAGATGATTTTGAAGACCATATGAAAGAAATCAATGGATGTAATACTATGAGACATGTACGACATGGGACAAATAATCAACTTCATATCCACCGAAATGATCAGGATGGTGAAACAGAGGTAAGTTTTTATCATTATTATTATTGTTATCAATGTAGTAGTGAATGATGCAAATGAATTATACAATTCTAGTTGACTGACTTATATCTGGATGTTGCAATTATAATTAGGACGTGAAAAAAACGTTGTGAATATATGTCTTGTTAACTTGAAAAGCTGACTTTTCCAGTCCCGTTCTAGGTAGCTGGAGTGCATTATAAGCTTCCAAACATCAAGTTTATCACTAGAGTCTATGAAAAAAAAACTCAAATTGGGTCACCGCGTTACATTTTTTTAAAGAAATAAAGTGGATTGGACCGCACCAGTGACCGGGAAACGTTTAGCAAGGAAGTTAATGGAATTAGGCAAATAACATTATAATTGCGAATAAAATATGCATCTTGAAGTGCTGTGATATTAAAAGGGATATCTTATCAGTTTTGCTTTCAGTAAGACTAAGTTAAGGTTGAGGTTAAGGACAGGTTAGGGTTAGGTTAACCTAATAAGATAGATTTTAATTCTGAGTAGACTTAGATTAGGATCAGTTTAGGGATAGTTTCGCATTAGGGCTAGGTTAAACATAGATTAGGGTTGGGTTTGGGCATGAAGACGTGGATTGACACCGGAATCCAAAACTGACAGGAATTTTAATCACACGTCAGAGAGACATATCCTATGTAACAGTTTCATGCCTTTATATTTATTATTTTCATAAATATCTGTAGTTTACACGTCAAGTTCATTTTTCCACTGCTTTATTTCCATAATTAAAGTTTGAATTCGTCCAAATTCCTTACCAAATAGAAACACAAAGATCACATAGTGAATTGGTAGAACAACACGAAAAAATAGTCTTTATTAAAGGAAAGTGTTTATAAGCGACTAGGGTATGCAGAACTTTTCATGTATGATATAATATACGGAGTGTCAGCAGTTCAATGGTAGAATGCTTGCTTGGGTTCGATTCCCAGCTGAGTAATTACTAAACAACACTTAGCCGATAATTCATATTGTAAAGAGGGAAAGTTGGGCGTGATACTAGCGAACTCATCCGTAAAGAACTCCAATGCTACTTAAATGTCAAAACTTAGGCTTGGAGCCCTACATTCCACTCAGAAAGCAAAATAATGATATATGTATTGCTCTGTTTCATTATTCCTATAATTAGAATTAGTGATATAAGTACTTCATTTTTTGTTATCACTTCAAACGATTATCAACGGCATAATTTGCGTTTTTAGTAATTAATAGAAGTTTATCAATGAATTTCTTTAATTTTTCCCTATTTTCTATTTATGACGTAGATGATGTCAGTAATTCGTCGAGTTAATTGGTTAAATTGGATTCAGTCTTTTCTTCGCTAGAAAACAGAATATTCAGAATACCGACGCATAAAAACATCTGATGAAGCATCGTAAATACTTGATTTATATCTATGGAAGCAGCTACAGACACGGGAAAAAAGGAACTGCGTGCGATGGAGAATTTAATTAACTTCCTGAGAAAATGTATTCCGAGGATTCATATACAATCCGGAGGATGTAAATGACTCCTAACTAGTGATACTTATTGAGATGAAATAATAGGCTAACGTTAAGCCTACACTCCATTTTGTAATGACTAGAAGAAAACAACTTTTTGGACATTTTAAAAAGTCTGTAAAGAGCAAACCTGTGATTAAAAAAGTAATTTTGTTGAGACAAGATTAAAATTTAGAGACGAGCAAGCGAATACATAAAAAAGAGATGATTGAAAAAGCAAACGCATTGTTGTAAATACAACCTTAATTTTCTTCTAATTTTTGTAATAATATAAAAATAACTTACTATAAACTGACTTTTTAAAATATGATCTGAAGTTAAAGTTGCTTAGACAGTTTATGATGAAGTGGTGAAACAAATCAACCGCTTTTATGGAAACACTCGTATAAATTACAGATGATCTTCTGGAATAGAATTCGTTAGAAGTCAGTTTTATTTATAGGATAAGTGAGAATCATAGAGCGCTGAGCAACCGTTTTGCCCTATTCTGGGGCTGTTCACAGTGGTTACGATTGATATATCCGTGAGGAATCATCAGTAGATTCATGAGGTTGTCGGAATCAGTGAACTGAAATCTAATATTTCATGATTCCAAAACTTCGTGGAATTTGGGCTCTGCTTCGATAGGGAAAAGCATAGGTGGGTGACAACTAGGCTGGGGACGTGTTTCAGTGGCGTGGATCAAATTAAGCATGTGGCATTTGACAGTTTGATCATTAGGATAAACATGATGACGGTGTAATACTTTCGAATACGATTTTGTATCCTATATCTTGATCCTGGGTTCCGTACTATTTCTTGCAGATTTGACGTATCAGGTATAAAGATTCATTTCGAAAATCTTGTCACTGGGATACAGAACTTGCTTCCAACATCCAGTGAGGATCTCGAACAGTTCATGTTTATAATATGGCACTGTTACTGTCATTATATAAAAGCGCAATGTTGACAACGACAAATGATAGCAAAAGAACATAAAATCTAATTAAATCATTTAATGAGTAACAGAAATATAATAGTTATCCATCCAGATAAAGTTATTTTAAGTTGTGAGAATTGATATCAGTAAATTATGCGCTAATATTTATGATGAAGTTAAGTTTCTAAGATCAGTTATTATCATAATTACTATTGTTTCCTAGAGGAACATAGGGCTTCAGCCGCGCGTCTTCATTGCGTTCGGTTCTCTGCTAGAGTTTTCAGCTGGCTGCAAGTCTGCCAACATGCTTTCATCTCCTCCTCGCATGACCTCCTCCAAGTCACCCTTGCACTGACGACCAACTCGCCGCTTCCCTTTCGGCCAGGTTCCACTCGAGCAATGGCTTGTCTAGTGATGTCACTTGATGGTTTCATTTCTCAGAGTATGGCCAATCCATCTCCATTTCTTCCTCCCTATTTGTTTCACAGTCAGTTCCTGCTGGGTTGGTTCGCTCATTCCCAGAGATCCCTGTCACTGATCTTTTCTGGCCGGCCATCTGATCTTGAGTATTGAGCGAAGACAGCTGTTAATGAAGATCTGTAGTTTGTTTGAGATGCTCTTTATGACGCGCTGGCCAAGTCTCTGATCCGTGTAGCAAGTAGCACTGATTTTACATTGGAGTTGAAAATCCGGATCTTATTTTTGATGCTGAGTGATGTTGACCTCCGCACAGATTTGAGAGTAATGAAAGCTTGTCTTGCTTTTCCGATTCTGGCTTTGATATCCTCGTCAGCTCGGCCTGTATTTGAAACGATGCTCTCCAGGTAGGTTGGTAGGTAAAGGAGGTTGCTTCTAAGATCAGCTGCCCAGGTAAAACTGATGGTGTTGAGAGGGAAATGTCAAAAACTTAGAAGAAATTGAAAGTTGAGTCCATTATTATCCCTTATATATATGGACATTTTAAGCCATCAGGTTCAACCATTTCTCGTTTATTTGAACCTCCAAAGGCGTCCCTTTGCAATCTCTATTGGATATCCTGGACTCGCCTTACCATTCTATGGCAAAATCGTTGGCTGAAATTTTTGGATCAGTGAGATTATATCTATGCAGGTATAGTCTTTCGAACACTTTTGACTTCTTCAGTCACGTTGGTGGAATTAATGTGCCCAGTAAGGGTATGATTTCATTAGATGTTTGTTCTCTATTTATAGATATACTGCTAGTAGAAACTACCTGTTATCTCTGTGACAGTATTGATTTAAAAAGCATAACCATAGGGGTGTCAACTAATTGCTTAAATGAGCTGTTATTGAGATGCACTTTTAGTGGGCGATTTAGATTGAATGAACTCATTTATGATCAAAGAGATAGAGTTGTCATGGGGTTCCTTTAGGACTTCCCGCAGTTGATATTGTTATGACGAGTTTACAGAATAGTCATTTGAAAGAAATTATCTCAAATCTGCACATATATAAGACATATATAGACGACACATTTAAAAACTTAGCCAATTCGGCATTCACTTCAACAACCCAAAGAATGCCACAAAATTGATATTCAGAAATCTTTAACGTAAGATGAAAATCACACTTATTGCAGTCACTATAGTGATTATAATTAATGGAATAGTGATTACATAACTATCCCAAAATACATACTGTACTTAACTGTCTACCACATACACATACTGACAATGGAATAAAGTTAAAAAAGAAACACATCGAAATAAGGAAAGCGGAATTTTAAAAATCACACTATGAATAGGATCCATTGAGTTATGAAGATACTGGATTGACTGAATATTGTAAATAGTAGTTAACGTTTTGCTTAAATCAATGTGATAGTAAGAACAAAAGTAAATCAGTGAGGAAATATGAATAAATAGGTGGTAATAGTAGTAACTGACGCGAAATCCTTCTCTTGTCTACTCCAGGCAATGAATGAACTGAGAACCTATCGCCCAACATATATGTAAAACTAAATACAGATGGATTTGACATACATTATGGTGGTCATAGGGTGATATGAAACGCGAAGAAGGCCTTCGAGGTGAAACCCGAATGTGTAACGACGAGTTAGATGTTTGTCTAAGGGTGACATGGTGGGGGTCGTATGAAGAGGAGATGAGAGCTTATGAATGACGAATGAACCAACCAAAAACGAACTGTAGAGAACAGAATGAGATGGAAATATGCCATTGAAGCCCTATGGCCTACTCGGAACCCAACCTCGATTTGTGAAGTATGTGAATTTTACTACAGTACTAATGGTAAGCTGACAAATGTTTATTACTGTCTTACTAAAAGATGGTGTTGGCTAGTAATGTAGAAAAGGTTGAATTTTGTTTTTCTAAATTTTATTTGTCATTTATTTAATATTCAGTTTTCAGTGGGGGGTCATCATGGAATATTCGAAAACTACATTGATGTACTAATTTCTTTCAAACAGAAAGTTGAAACCAACTGGTGTCACTAGACATACTGTCGATTAGGAGAGAGGATGGTCCAGTAAAGCGATAAATTTATGCAAAGCTTACATGGACATGGCAGTACATAAATCTTCACAGTTTCTGTCTATTACAATATAAGAGAAACCTGGTGAAGTGCTTTTAAAAAAAATATTCGGCCAATCTGCACAACTGATGGTATCAGTGATGAAAATAAGACGTTGATGGTTATATTTATCAAAAATGGATTTTGAACCGGTGTAGAGTTCACTTAGTTTCAAAGTCTACAGTCTATTCTGTCCCAAAGAAAGGTGTTCACATCGAATTACCTTACGCTAGGGGAATAAATAGTAGGATTTTAAGACAAAGACTTAATTATGTCGTGCATAAAACTTATTCTGCAGCCCAGCTTATCATTACTGCAAAAGCCAAAAATATGCTTTACCATGAGCCTTAATACTGTACAAGTAATTATGTCACATCCGATATTGTATACGGGCATACACTATTGGGATTTGTTCTAATTATTATCCTTCTTATTCTTGGATCCCTTATCATTTTATTTCATGTTTTAATTTTTCATATAATCTGATTAACAAGTAATTGTGTGTGATCAGATTGTTCGGCAGGTATGATGAAAATAAATTAGTGTTTTTTAAACATAAACTCTATCCTATAATAACGCTATCCAAACATATATCTTTGGAACTTACTATGTTTGTTTTTTTAATAACTTTTTCTTCACAAGTACATATTTAACTGATCCACATAACTTTCGTGCATCAGTGGTTTAGTGATAGAATATTCATCAACCACGCACGTGATCCGGAGTTCTATCCCAAAATGACGCACTTCTAAACCTCTCGTAGTCAGTAGTGAGACAGGTGTGGGGGGAGAGTTGAAAGTGAGGTTAGGGACACCATCGCGTTAAAAGAAACACCGATGCTACCGAAACTTCATAGCTCAAGCCTGGGACCCTATGTCACACTGAAAATGCGAAGGAATAAATTAAGCAAACATGACATAATTCTTGTATTTTCGAAAATGTCAAAGCAGCACCATTCGAAACACATCATTTATCCAATTGATTATCTTGAGTATATTTTTTTCAGAAAGAAGTCAGAAGACGCTCGATATTTATTTAAACTATTTGTGGAGAATCTGTCTTCAGTTAGCCTTCTACTAACTGATCAATAAAAGACAAACGTTAAGTCCTATTTTTGAGTTCATTTAATTAATTTTCAAGAAGTGGTTTGTAAGGATTAGATTAGATTTTACGAGTTGACAGCGGATTGACATCAGTTAGAGAACCATTGAAAACCACCGAAGAGTACTGGACAGCCGTTTCATCCTAGTTTGGGAATTATTGCCACTACTCACTCAATACAGAGTTTCGAACCCAGGACCTTCCGGTTACAAGGCAAGCTAGCTCGTATACCATTCAGCCACTGGGACCCGATTCTATGGCCCATGAATACTAACTTCTACCAATTCATGATTTAGCGCGACTATCAACCAATGTGATCGGTGGGACATCCATCGTCACACTTGACTGGATGGTTGCGTACTGACTAAGATTTTGTGTTAAGAAATAGAGAAAATACAACGATAATCAAGTAGTTACACAATATTAGTGCTGCAGATTAAATTTACGCCTCTCCAGTAAAACTTCATGGTTTTCGCAGTTAAAGCGTTCAAAATTAGCAAACTTTAGTTGCAAACTGGCTTATAAGGTTTCTATAAATTGTTAT